GAGTTGAAGTCCACACATCTTCAAGTTGCCAACGTTGAGAAACACTGCTCTGAACTGTTCTGTAAAAGCCCATCTGCCATCGCCTTTCGAACTTGGAATCGCCCAGTGGCCTTGCTGAGTGGTAAAGTCAGAATCCAACTGCCCTCCCCATCCCTGCCCAGTTGCAAGGGACTACAAGCCTCATAATTTCCAGCCAGCGTGGCTGGTTCACGGGCTTCACTCTTGCAAAGATGTGCATTGCCCTGACTGGGCCTCTGCTCCCGGAAAGAATCCGGCCCCGACGGTTAGTTTCAAATTAAGGCATGCATTGTATCAGTGATGACACAAAGGTCTGGATTCTCTGTATGAGAATTGCTGTGGCCGAGAGACCACTGTCCTTGATTCAACCCACTGTTCCCCTGGTGGCGTCTGATAACCCACTTCCAACCTCAGCTGATTCCCACATGCAAGATGATGGCCAGCAATCCTGGCCTGGCTCACAGCGTTGTTGGAGGGATGGGGAGGGTGAAATACGAGGTACATACATGGCACTTGATGCCAACAATTTTATGGTGAATCATTCTGTGGAAATCTCAAAGGATTGGGAATTAAAGCAACCCCACACTTTGTGGCATTGTGGCCGAATCCAGAGCAGCTTTGAGGACTCTGGAAAAAGGAGGCAGCTCCTTGGTAGATGTGTTTGAAGCAAAGCTCCGGGTTGGGCCAGCGTGCTTTCTGGTGACTGCAACATGCGCGTGATTTGGGAGACCGGGGCGCTCTGTGAATCGGGAGACTGGGCAATGGGGAGGGGTGGAACTGAGGGGTGGGCAAAAATGGTGCTGTTTTCCATGTGAATTTACTGTGGTCCTTCCAGAATCCATCCATGCTCTGCGCAGAGGAGTTTGCACAGTCAGGCCATCCTTTCCCACCCCGAGGCCCTGGTTCATCTGCAGCCAGGAATGGGGGTGAGGAATTGCCTTGCGAGGTGCTCTTCTTTTCCTGGAAGACAGCAGGCAAAGTTCCCTTCTGTCTGTCCCCAAGTCCCTGTAGGCATTATGGACCGGCACTACTCTCCCTCCCGAACAGAAGCCAAGGGAGCCGTGCTGAGCCCCGAGTTGAACGGCTGCATCTGGCCGCCAGCTGCAGCCGTGCCCGGCGGAGGATGGCGAAGCCGGGCTGTGTCCGCAGTCATGCCCAGTTGGAGAATCCTGGGGGATGTTGCAGGCATCCTGGGGGAGCGCCAGCCTTCTGGTGCCCTGGCCCATTTGCACCCGCCGGGTTAATCGAATCCGACGTGGGCGCTGCAAGCGAGGGGCCGTCCCCTGTGCGGCCAGTAGGTGTCGCTCTCTGAGCGTGGCCAAGGAAAGGATGCTGGGCAGGAGGTAGAAGCGGGGGGGGGGGGGGCAGGGGGGGCCGCCCGCATCAAACCCCCCTTTCTCTTGCAGATGACACGCCCCCGCCCCCTGCGCCTTTCACCCACCGCATCGTCACACTGAGGACCGGCGACTACAAAGATGCCTACAACCTGAACACTAAGGAGATCCTGGGAGGGTAAGAAAGGGGAGCGAAGGAGGGCAGCTTTCCCCACCGCCAGTTAAAACTCCACCACCTTCCGTATTTTATCCCTCCATCGGTATAAGCCAGGGGCATCCATGGGAAGGGTCAAAAAGGTCAAGATGGCGGCTGCAACCGGGCAGTGGAAGCCCGGCCTTTTTAATATGCATCGCATAAAAGGGGT